TGCACCAGTTAATTTTAAACACAGATTTACAAATTGTGGATTAGAATTCTAACCAGCGATTAAAACCTCCATTTACGATTAATTTTCTCCGTCATGATGGATTCGCCATTGTAATTAAACAGTAACAATGTTTATATTCCATTTCCTTCTTTGAACACAAGAAACTCTCTCTGATGATAAAAGACCTTGCCAATAAAGGAAATAAACTTGTAGAATGTCAGCCGTCTTAATAAACTGCTATGTATAGAGACCGTTACTGATCAAGCAGGTAATGAAGATATTGCGGCAGCGCGTACGAGATTTCATAAGCCTGGAAATATTTTTATAGTATCAATTAATGGAGTAATAAGGCAGCATATAACGTATGACAAAACAACCGCGATAAGAAGAAAACCTGGTATGATTCGCGGAGTGACAATCTCCGGTCTTGACAGCGCCACATTTCTGTTTGAGTATATAAAAGCTAAATATATTCCTCTCTTCTTTGTCCGACAGCGAGCTTTATTTTTCATTTTTATTTGTAATAAAAGAGACCCGAGGACACAACCACTCTTTCTGTCTATGTTCAATTAGCCACATATTTTAATTGTAGATGCACTTTATTTTATCTAAACCTCCTCACATGTAAATTTGAAGTTAATCCCTAATTGAGATTTAAATTAATTTAATTTTCATATTTAATTTTTTAATTTACGGTAATTAATTTAACAATTAATTTTCTCTTGTGTCTCTGCACGTGTTTTGCGCATAAAGAATGCGCACCTCAAAACTATGCACTCTAATGATGACCTTGCTTAATCAACCATCGATACGTTTTATCAAAGTAACTATTAACGACAATTAATCAATCGTCGATTCATCGTTGGCATTCCTACGCTGAACCAAACAGAACAAACCCCCTCCCCCCAAAAATGTCAACTTCCTTGAATACCTGACACGGCACTTCCTGGTTTTCATCCATGTCTATGTCATTAGCCTTTATTTCCTGAAAGCCAAAGAAAGTATCACTCAATGTGCAATAAGAACTAGGGTTATTACTGTTAACTAAAACTATTTTAAAAAACAAAAACAAAAAACAATTTTGTTAAATTGAAAGCAAGCTGAAATATAATAAAATATAAATATTAGTTGGAAAATAAACTAAACGAAAATTAGAAATGCTGCCTTGGCAATAAACTGAAATAAGTTGAAGCACTAACATTATTAAAAGGAAATAAATAACAAAACTTAAACATAACTAAAACAAACTAAACAAAATTAAGTTAAACCTAAATAGCAATATATATATAAAAAAAAGACAAAAGCACAATGAAATTACTAAAAATTAAACAAATTAACATGAAAACTAACGATAAAACTAAAACAAAAGCTCATTCAAAATACTAATAAAACAATAATAAAAACTAAAATAATACTGATAAGAACTGAGCTGCGGTATCATTAGCTAATATTAAAACCTCACCTCCTCCACTTCAGATTTACTCATAACTGCATCATCAGCATCCTCCGCATCATGGTTATTTGCGGCATCCTCCCTCGGGCTGTCTGTGTTTTCTTCATTTGATAAAGTATCTAGGATCTCTTCGTCATATTCGTCTCCATCAGGCCCACCTCCATTGCCCATATCGGCTTCATCCAGAACATTCATGTCCATGATATCCATCTCATGAAGGTTATCTGGGATAGCATCTGGGTCCTCCTAAAGGAGGTAAAGAAATTGTTAGTTTTGATAAAGCTATGCAAAATAACTCAACCTAGTTCAGATTAGGGCTGCAACTAACGATTATTTTGATAATCGATTAATCGGACGATTATTTTTCCGATTAATCGGATAAAAAATTCAATTAGATTTTTTTTTTATTATGACTAAATAAAACCCTGTTACACTTTATTTTAAGGTGTCCTTGTTACAGTGTAATTATATATTTAAGTACAGAGTAATATTAAGTAACTACATGTACTTACTATAGGAATAGGGTAGGATTAGGTTGAGGGTTAGTTGCATGTAATTATGCATAATTTACTGTTATTACTACAGTAAGTACATGTAACATATGTAACAAGGACACCGTAAAATAAAGTGTTACCTAAAACCCTAAATTAGGATATTTATGTGTAAAAGTGTACTTTAAAAAGTGCAAAAGCCACATGTTGAGTTTTACAAATATCAATATTTGCATTGTTTTTAATGATAATTGCAGATGGCAAGTTGACAACCATGATTAATGTAAAAAAAAAAAATTATATCCAACATATTGTTTTAACACAATTTTTGTTAAAACAAATTTACAGACATGTTGTTCAGATGTGAAGATATAAACTAAAAACATCTCAAATGTATAATTCATTTAATTTTTATTTAAAATTAATTGAATAAGGATAATTTGTAAAAATAAATATAGAAAGACTGAAAACAAGCGTGTGAACATAGAGCCGCAGTAGATCGCGTTTGAAAAACAATTAAAACTTAATAGTAGACAAATGCTATATAAAGAGAGCGGAATGGAGGTACGCAGCAAGCAAACAGGCTTGATTAAAAAGACAGGAAAAATGATGCATTAGTGCACCAACATTCGCTGAAAACCACTGAGTACAGTGACTAAAAAACAATCTTTTACTGCTGCTGTTATTAACTGCCTTTATATTTAGTGCTTCGCTTTTAATTTAATATTTCTGCGGTAGCACTATTTTAATCCATCACTTATGTTGCGAGCGAACTGATTGCGCAACCTGATGCTCGAGACGCAAAATACAGACATCCCAAGTCTCCCGGAAGTTCTGGAAGTCACCCGCATATTGATAGCGGCTCGCAAATTAGTTCAAACTCCCGGGATTTGAGCGCGCAAGCAAGAGCGCGCATGCGAGACAGAAGAGACTGTGCTCCAAACCGTGTAGCGCGAGCGCGCGGCAGAGCAACGGAGGGAGGGAGACCTTGCGTGTGTGTGCCTCATGAAGCGCGTGTAAGACAGAGAGCATCCTGATTGGCCTGTTTCAACCAATCACCAGTAAACGCTCCCCGTGACGTAAGCAGACCAACTAATCGATAATGACATTCGTTGACAACGATTTTCATAATCGATTATTATCGATTTTATCGATTAGTTGTTGCAGCCCTAGTTCAGATCATATCCATCAACAACTTCATATTACAGAGCACCTGGCCATCAACAGAGTCCTCCTCAAGGGTGCCATCTTCAGCCTCATCAGGTTCATCTTTGCTCTTTCCTATGGACAGAAACAAATACCACTTCAAACCGACTTAAAATCCCTATGAAATCAAAACTGACAGATATATTGATCATTTTTTATGTTATCGGCCCGATGAGAAAATGTGGCCGATATATTAAAGCAGATAAATAATGGATCATTTCCTTCTGCTGAGACACTTCAGATGCGCATTGTTCACCATGGTGGTTTTGAATTGCTTGAAATATGATTGGAATCACCTCAAAAAAGGAAAATACAGTTAAGTGCAACGTGTAGCACAAGTCTGGCTACATAAAATTATAATTTTGGATGAACTAACCCTTTAACTATCGTGAGATCAGTATTGTGTATAGAACCAAATCATGACACGAGTGTATTGTTGTTACACCTCTAATATTTAAGTGAAAAACCTTAAAACACTGTATTGTGTATATTTTCAGTACATCGACGTGAAGACATCTTGCTTTTACCTTTTGAAGATCGCCTAGGTGTTTTCTTAGGCGTTATTTCAAGGTGTACAACAATCTCATCTGGATTTCCGCCCTCTTCTTCAATAGCCTGAAACGAAAGTATGACACAGTCAAATACAAGAATGATTGCCATCCATTACCTATTGTTTACAGCGTCACACAAACAACTCATTTTTATTCTACACTGACAACCTATTGTATTTGCTGCATATTACGTAAGCCTTGAATTCAAAACATCCTGCAAGGCCAGTTTGATGCCTCAAACAGTCAGATAACGTTAGTGCATAAAAAGCATTATATACATAAACGTACGCATAACAAAATAACAGTATCAATCCAAAACATCATTCATAACAATAAAACCCGAGTGCGAATATAAACAGCACATGTACTGCGGTAACCATAAACCCCAGTAACTCAGACCATGCAAAGCATGTTTATTCATATGTAAAATAGAGTTTAACATTTCTGAGAAATGGATATTTCTCGGGGTCCACTTGCCTTTTTGAGTCTCTCTGAAAGCAGGCTCTTGTTGCCGCTAATGTCGAGATTTCGGCGCTTCAGCTCGGCCTTCAAATCGATCACTCTCAGCTCCGATAACTTACGAACCCCCGCCTCCACAGGCCCCACATCTGCTGTCGAAGAGTCTGACATGTTTTCGGGTTGTGAATATAATCGTGGAAATAGACCAATGAGTCTCTTTCTACCCCGCGAGCACTCACCGGATTGTAGATAGAACACGATATACAGCGTTTCTCACTCGAAGCAAAATGGCGCAGTCGACTACAGCCGTGCGCATGCGCCTGCCTTGGATTTTTGGCGCATGCGCATCCACGTCATAATATTCGCGGTCAGTCTGACAGGAGTTTGCTAGCGCGGGAATGTGAGATTTTTTTTGCAGATATTGATGTTTTAGCGGATAAAATACACTCCAGGTGGCGATAGATAAAGAATATTGTAGGTGCAAGTTCGGTTTTGACAGTTTTGGAACAGCTGAGAATTTTCGAAAAAAATAACCTATTAATAGCCTAGGCAGATACCGGTAGTCTATGATAGATACATAACAATCACACATGCAATATATTATTTACGTAGGCCTACACTATGACAGGAGTGCGGGAACGTAAGATAATATTTAGCCTTTTATTCCAAAAATAAAAGGTACTTGCACTTTTAGTGGGTAGAAAAACCCCCATTGTATATTAGTAATTTGTTTTTTATTCTTAGATGATTTTTAGCATGTCGAAATTCAAGTGAGATACATTACAATAATTTCCACAGACAGAATGATTTGTGGTGTACTTTAATGAAAAACCAAACAAATCCAAAATAAGATAATTTAATGCACTGGTAGATTTACCAACAAAACAATACTGTAAGCTGTAAGAGTACATCAACTTTCTCAATTATATTACATTTTTAGGCTTCTGTAACATATGGCAGATAGAGTGGAAAAATTACACTGTAACATATTGTATACATATTATATACAGTACACAAACTGTAACAGTTTGTAACGCATCCGACGCACAGCACTGAACACTTTCCTGCTAAATGGAATTTGGTAAGTTGCTAAATTTAAATGGGAGTTCCTCAGAAGAAGCGCTAGGCAAACTCTTGATGGCGGGAGGTTCTTCAGACTCAAGAAACTCTGAACTTATGGTTTCCTCAGGTTCATTCTTTAAACCAGTGTATGTGGGTGATTCCCTGGGTCCCTGACAGTAGGACCAGGATGTAGATGGAGATCCAATGTAGGAAAGGTTTGAGTCAGACAGGTTAGCTCTAAAGCTTTCACTGAAGGATGAAGACTCCATTATACTGGACATTTGCAGTTCAGAGGAGGAAGCGGGAGAGAGTCGTGGCTCGTGGAGGTTGAGTTTTGACACTAGAGGTTTGCCTACTGTCACTCTTTGCTCTTCCATGACCTCTTCATCTAGATTAGCATACTTGTAGTGTAGACACACAGTAAACGAGAGCTCTTTCTGTGAGGGGAAAAGCAGTTAAGAAAAGCCTTATAATATGCATTCCATATAAGTAATACATTAGATATACTTTGCACATATTGTATAAACATGAGACACTATACCTTCAGCCTTTGCAGGGCACTAATACGAGTAAAGAGCCGAGGTTCTTCCAAAGGCAGTAGATCATCTAGGTTCAGTAGTAAGCTGCCAGCCTCACAGAGACTCTCCTGATTGCTGTGCTTCAGGTCTATTTCGGGGCCCTGGAATGATATCAGTCGAAACTGAATACAAAACAATGCGTCTTGGGCTATTTTTTGGACAATCTACCAAAGATACACAAGTTGAAGTGGGGCATGAAAAGGTAATGAATCTTATTCACAGGAAATCAATAAATGATACATCTTTATGTTATTTTCTCATGACTAACTCAATAAATTATTTGCAGATCTACAAGAATGTCAGTTTACCTCTGTAAAGTCAGAGAGCTGAGCAGAGCATGACAAAATGTCTTTAGGAGTCTCCAATATCCGAGTGTAGATTATCATGATATTGGAGAACTCTGCAGCGAAACCGAGCTGTACCTTGACACCACATTCAAACTGAAGACAGCGGCTCTGTGGGATGACTGGAACCATTTACACAAAATCATTATGTTTCAATATTTTCTGCATTTTATCTACAGCTATTGTACTTTGCATAAGGATATAAACTAAAGGGGTTTTATTCTGAACAGGTCCCACCATGCGCGATGGCCCACTGTAAGTTCCTTGTTGACGCTGTGACTTGGCACGTTGGAGCTTGAATGCTGTCCGTCAGGGCACGACGCTCTGAGAGATTACTACGAAGTTCCAAAGCCTGCCGGCCACGAGTGATTTTACACCTTCCCATGTCTGCAATGGACATAAACTCTGTAAAACTGTGCAGTCACACTTGACGTTCAAGAATTTAATCTAATTATATCTGCTAGCCAGGGCTGTGTTTCCCAAAAGCATTGTGAGCCAAGATGATCGTAAAGAACACTGATGGTAATGGTCTTCACGATCAACTTGGGCTCACCATGCTTTTGGGAAAGGCAATCCAGAGCAGTTCAAATGTGAACATTTCCAAAAATTACCCACAATATCAATTTGAGAGAAGTTTATGACGTATATGCAGTGGTGGACAGTAACGAAGTAAATATAATTCGTTACTGTACTTAAGTAGCTTTTTTGCGTATCTGTACTTTACTCAAGTATTTACATTTTGGGAGACTTTTACTTTAACTCCACTACATTTCAGAGTCAAATATCTTACTTTTTACTCTACTACATTTTCAAAATCAGTCGTTCCTTTTTATTTATGAGTGGATAAAAACGTAACTGGTCAAACGAGCCACCAATCACAGTACAGCGCGCGCGCTTTGTTTTGAACTTGCCTTGGCGGTATCTACTAAGCGCGAACCAGAGCCGTTAATATGAGAGTTGCAAACATGGTTGTGACAGTGATCTCGCCGCTGCGCGGTCACGTTATTCGTGTAGCTCTCAATAGTTCCAAACAAATCGCGTTGACAATGATTTTAAGTGGGACAGAGAGCAGGAGCTATTATTGCAGCAATTATCGGTAGGTATTGACGCATAATGTACATTGCTTACGTTGCCACTAAAATGACTTGCATATAATAGCTTTTTTTTTTCCTGGGGAGTAGCCTAGCAGAAACACTGCATTAATAACGTTTTTGTGTTTAATTTTGGAAGGAAATTGGCTGCTCCCATAACATAGAATATATATATGTATATGTGTGTGTGTGTGTGTGTGTGTGTGTGTGTGTGTGTGTGTGTGTGTGTGTGTGTGTGTGTGTGTGTGTGTGTGTGTGTGTGTGTGTGTGTATATTTAATGGCGTTGTGCAGGTTTATGTGAATGTATCATAACATTAAGACGTTAATAATTATGACCATAGGCACTGGAGAAAAATATATACAGTAAATACTGTAAATGTTTTAGTCCCCTTCCCTCAAAAATTAAACACACAAAAAAATAATTAAATTCAAATATACATATATATATAATATTATATTTATATATACTGTATATATATATATGCACAGTATATATATGTATATATATCAGACTAATAAATGTCATTTTTTATTAATAGATTGGTGTGCCAAGAGTGACATTAGTCTTCACTTAGACTGAGTTAAGGAAGAGTCTTGTGACAAATTATAATAGGACATTATAGCCATAAACAAAATCAAAGTACTTGGATACTTAAGTACATTTGAAGGCAAATACTTTTGTACTTTTACTCAAGTGAATGTTTAAAGGCAGCACTTCTACTTTTACTTGAGTAATATTTGACCTTGAGTATCTTTACTTTTACTCAAGTACATGGTATGTGTACTTCGTCCACCACTGCGTATATGTGGCTTAAAAGTATTTGCACATTTTGTAACATTTTCTTGTCTGATAAGTAATTCAAACAAAACACTGATACCAACAATGAATTGTGGATTACTAGAGAACATCTTTAAACCCAAACCTTCTGCTACTTTGTCAAGTAGGACCGTGACCTTCTCTGGCTCCATCAGTCTCTTCTTAAGAAAGCTCATAAAGATTCCATTAGAGAGATCGTCTTTATTTACTTCAAATGCTTCGGCATCAACACACCTAGATTCAGAATGCGAAGATTGCAATCACAATTTCTAGATATCAATAAAATGACTTGTCACTGCATTAGACTCACGTTGCATAGCCAAACACTATGTCTGCGGTCACTCTCAAGGGGCCAGGTTGTGGGATGCTCTCATCGTTTGGGTTTCTGTATGAACAACACAACTGCAGTCAGGTTCAAGTAAAATTAAAAGTACAATAATTCAGAACTAATACACTTATGAATCAAACCACACCGTTTCCGACACATGTCCAAAAGAAAGACGTTAAGTCCCGTCTGGCGCTCTTGCATGCGCTGCAACACGTCCTGCACCCAGAGACAGTGCTTGAAGGTATAAGAGGCTGGAGCATCGATGGGTACCATGAAACTGTTTCCATAGTTCTCATAGCCATGACCAGCAAAGTACAACAGCCCTTGAAATGGCAGACATGGAAAAGAGAGATTAGATGATCCAAACATATTCAATAAATAAACAATCAGGATTGGTGTAACATTCTATTGCTGCAGAAATCCAACTGATGCAACAAGGCACTAACCATAAACGCCTCGATCCAACAGTAGCAGGAACTCAGTAACAGCACTATGCATCTCCTGCCAGTTGAGGTCCAGTAGAGAGACGACTTTAAAGTCCAACTGGCGTAGAAGGTTGGTCAACTCATGCACATCTGCCATGGGAGCTCTCAGCTGCCGGTGATGCAGGTAGTTCATATTCCCCATAAGCAGTGCTACCTTGTCAGTGGCTATAGATTTGTGAAGCGACAAGATTGGCATAGCAGATCCTATGAATACAAGAAATACCAAGAGCAATTTCCTTATCACTTACCGCAACAATCACCCATTTGCCTTGGACCTGCATCAGAAGTAACTATAAAACATAAGGTGCATGTGAGTGACAAGAAAGCATCTGTACATGTGCTTAATCATACAATTATACAGATCATTCTTACCCACTTCAGTTGTTTCCCATGAGACATCAGAAGAAGAAGAACCAGGACCTGAGTGAAAATAGGCCATGCTATGAAGAAAAATCTTAGGTCGATTTATTTCATTTATATTAAAGGGAATGATTATGGATCATGTTGTCTTAAGCTCCTTACCTATGTTTACTTGGACCTGATCGCTCCACATTTCATGATAGAGGTTGAAAACCCTGCAAGTATATGTACCTCTGTCCGCTGTGGTAATGCATGGAATCTGAGGACGAGACCATGTAGATGCCCAATTAAGTACACAGTATACCAAACTTTGGCATAACACTTTGCATTTTCTAATAAATTATTCAACACATTCAACCGTGATACTTAAAATTCAACTTAATGATTACCTTTAAGAAGCTTCTAGTACACTTTGGCATTGGAAGTTTGTTAAGGAACCATTGGAACTGTGGAGGTGGGTTGGCCTGAGCAACACATTCGAGATAGAGAGTGTCTCCCTCCATCAACACTTGAGGCCTGGGTTGCTGAGTAATATACAACCCACTAGTTGAAGAAGGGAAGTAGCTACTGCTGGCACCTGCGGATGACACAATGTATCAGTGTTGAAGGAAGTTTGATTCCTTCAAGTCTGAAGTAAGTTTTAAGGTGAAATATTCACATACCTGCACTTGCGCCTCCAGAACTCAGTAGACGTACATGGACCCAGTTGGAGAAGACGTACTTGTCCCCAGAACTTACACGGCAGATGTAATGGCCCTGTTGAAATGGACTTGCAGGATTCAGGACCAGCTCTGGGCCACTGCCTCCTGGCATCTACCGAGAACATAAATAATCAGACTATTGAGACTAAGGATGACATTTCAAATCAGTAGGCTTAGTTACAGAATGTAGTGCAGCAGACCTCATCTTTGCCCCTGAACCACTGGTAGGTGAGCTCCACAGGTCCAACTGCTCTGCAGCTCAAAACCACGGTACTTCCCTCTGGTACCCGCTGACTCTGTGGCTGCAGTGTGATGTTAATATGCTCCATCACTACCCAAAAACACAAATAACACCTGGGTGATATGACCCACCCCTTCTGGTTACCACCTAGAATTAGATTAGATGTTTGCCTATGTATATTTAGCTACCATGTGAGGTAAGAAATCCAATAGCCTCTCTGTGCTCAATTTTCTTCAGGCATTGAAGCAGGAAAGCCAAAGAACACCGTCTATCTGCGAGGAGGGCAAGCAGGTATCGACCAGGACTGCCATGTGGACTTAGTACTTTGATTGAGCAGTCAGTCAGCTCTTTGTCACTGCAAAGAAGGATATTCTGTAATTGTGAATCGGTCATAACCATGCACAATATCGGCTAGTTATTCCACACAATTTAGCCTATAACAACTTACCTATAGCAGAATTGTGGCTGCTCAGCCACTGCCTTTGCCAGCTGTTTCCAACCACACTCTAGATTGTCTAGCATGTAACCAAGTCTGTTTAGCTCTGTCTCACTCAGGTTTTCTACACCCAAATTCTTGTCCTCCATAATTTGATCAATGATTAACTGAGAAATAAATGACAAGAGGTTTATTTAAATTTATCATCAGACAGGATTTTTTTTTTTTTCGGATATTCAGAAAAATGCTGGGGCATTAATATAAATTTGACTCTAAGTATGATACCTAAGAGTAAAAATTATATTAATAACCCAGCCCACTCCTCATCTTTTGTCATTTTTCGGTTTTCAGAATAAACTATAAATCAGCTTTCCAAACCAAACCTTTACAGAACTTTGTCCCAGACAGTGTATGAAATTCCCCAAAAATAAATAAAATGTTATTCCTGTAACACCCAAACCTTATTTAACCAAATTTAAAAAACGTACACCACACACTGGTGGTTTTTGGGGGCCTTAAAGTCCAAACATGTCTAGGTGCATGGTGTTACTGTCCAAAAAGAAACATTCATATTTTAAGACTGCAATTCTTGAAAAAAACCTTATGGGCCTATTGTTATGTGCATAATATTTTATTTTGAGTTGAGTAATTATGTTTTAAAATATAACCAATATTTGAAAAGCTTTTGACCACCCAATTGAAAGGTGGTGTGATATAATAATAATAATAATAATAACAACAGTAACTTAACTGAAAACTAATTCAAATCTTAAAACTTCTTGCTTGCTTGAGTTGCTTGACATTCTTAAAGTAATTCAATCTAAATTTTGTAGACAATACTAAACGTTTTTCAAAAATGTATTAAATCAACATGAATACAAATGTACATTTCTATAATGCTGCACACGTGTTGTAATCTCGATTTGTGAACTTCTCTTTTTTATCAGCTCTGAAATCCTTATTTGTCATTGTTCCAAATATAAGCATATCATTATTTTAAAAAAATCATTTAAACACCGTAATCTCAAATAGAAGAAATCTCGATACATATTTTATAAACGCGTTTCTTTGTTCCTGTACGTTAATAAAACAGTGAAAAACAATCAACATAGCTAGTAACATGAAAATGCGGAACCGAATATTTTAATTTTAATTTTAATTTTTAATTTTAATTTTAATTTCACGACACAGTTGAGAATAATGCGCCAAGAAATGTAAGTTTAAATAACCAATCGCAAAGGCAATTAATTAAAGAAATGTATGATATCATTGCAATGCATGATCAGCAGAGCTCCAAATCGATTATAGCTTTTAGTGGATTTCATTTCATTTGGAAACGAAATATGTAAAAATGAAAAGCTCTTACATTTAATCTTAACAGGCAAACAAAAGTATATTTACCTGTTATACGGTAATTTAGACTCCCGGAAGTGAGTTTATCACGGGTTCATAAAACGTAGATTGTAAAGTGACCGAGGCACAACTGATAATTAAAGATCTCCCTGAATTCTCTCTGATTTACCAATAAACAGTCAATCGGTCTCTAAATATCCGTTTAACTCACTTTGAATCTGATTTACTGCGACTAATACTTATCAGAATCCGCAAATCAGTATGGTAAACATCCGCAGCAGTTCTGTCTTTTTCAGTCAGTAGTTCCTCTTTCTAACATGTATTTGCATGTACACCCCCACCACGCGCAGCAACAGCTTTTTACTTTCACCTTCTCTCAACCTATAGCAGCAATACATCATGAGTCACTCCTGCTGAAGAAGAGGTGCAACCCTCACATAACCTAGATAGATAGACAGATTGATAAATAATAATTTTTAGATTATAATTAAATAGATAGTTAGATACATTATAATTATTAGATTATAATTAAATGGATAGTTAGATACATTATAATTATTAGATTATAATTAAATAGACAGTTAGATACATTATAATTATTAGATTATAATTAAATAGATAGTTAGATACATTATAATTATTAGAAATAGATAGACGATAGACAGACGATAGATAGACAGACATGCAGATATAGGCAGATGGACAGACAGACGAATAGACAGAAAGAAACATACAGATAGACAGATGGATAGATAGACAGAAAGATGAAAAATAGATATAGATAGACAGATACAGGTGAATAGAGACAGACAGATGATAAATAGACAGAGATAGATACAGACGAATAGATAGTCAGAGATAGATGATAGATACAGACAAATAGATAGTCAGACAGACAGACAGGCAGATATAGATGAAAGAAAGACAGATGATAGACAGACAGAGATTGAAATAGACATACAGACGGATGATAGACAGACAGATGATAGATACAGACGAATAGACAGACACAGATGATAGATAGACGAATAATCGATAGATAGATGATAGATACAGACAGGTAGACAAACAGACGGATGATAGATGATAGACAGATGCTCGATAGATAGACAGACAGACGCAGACCATAACTAGAACATATATTATAGAAATTATTTTTTTTTATAGATAAATATTTCCACAATTTTTGTTGTTGTTGAAAAGACACCTTTTGACATTGCACATTGATGATGGCATCAGAATTTTATTTGTTCATGTGACTGAAATGAGACCAATAACAAAACGACAATAATAGTAATACAAAGAATGACAACAAAATAAGCAAAAATACAAACACTTCATCCTCAGAAACAGGAGAACTAACACACCAGCAAAATTGGCAATGTCTACTGTGCCTGCTGGGAAAGCAAAGGTTCACCCAGGCCTTGCCCTCAAAGAAGCATATTCATATAAGCATTCTGTCCATTCCCTCTACATCTTTTTGCCTTTATGCAGTTTATTATGTCTCCAAATATGCTCCTTCCTTAAAAGATTACAGTATTCCCAACTGTCTGGTTCCAGTTCATTGAGTTTTTTGCGTGGGCCGAGGTCCAACTGAAACAGCCTGAAGACATGGGACAACAAATGCAACTTGAGTTACAAACATGTTATTTTGCTAGCTAATCTGAGATGCAATAAATGCATTATAAAGCACAAAGTAAAATACACCACATCATACCATTCTGGATACTCCTCCTTGGGTTTAATAAGAGGGTCCTCGCCCTGTTTCAAGATGTTGACTCCAACTGCATGCGTGCAAAGTCTCACTGGATCCTTACACACTTCTGGACCCTTAAGAACTTCCTTTACAATTCCTTTACCTTTTCCTTTCATTACTACGAGAGACAAAATAATATTTTATTAAGAAAATATATTTAAAATATGAATGCAAACCAATATAAACATAATATAATAATGTTATATAAAAACAAATGTTTTGAAAATTGGTCCTCCAAGGTCACAAGACATGTAATACGTACAAAATAAACCGTACCTGGCTTTTTAGCATAACCACGGTATTGAATAAAAAAAGTGTTAACAAAAAGCTCGTTAAAAGCATTCAGAACAGGCAAGTTTATCCTCTTCATAGAATGTAGTACAATATGTGCCATTGTGCCTCATCGGATCTTCCACCATGCTGTCTGAAGTGTACGTGAGACGTACTTCCGTCTTCCGGATGAATCTGCAACACGCATGCGCGTTTTGCGTACGGTCTAGTCTAGAAACGTCAATTTCTTAAAAAAAAATTATAACTAACATTCAGTGGAACAGAACAAACCACGAAGGTGCAAAATATAAAAGAAATAAAAAGTAAAAACATATTACTAATCTATTGCTTTTCACTCCTGTCCTGTAGAGGGCAGTAAGACCGAGGATACGTTATAAACACCACCGACCGTCTGTTGTTTAGACGAAAGCAAGCCAACATGTCGGAGTACAAATCTGTCCAGAAAGGGTCTTTAAACCTGAAAGGTGTTTCTTTAGCAAGTAAAAAGTATGTATTTGTTTATTTCCATGCTTTTCTAAATATCAAAACATTTTAGCTGTTATTTGTTGTGGGGAAATGTTGGCGTTTCCTGTCACGACAGCAGTTAGCTGTTATGCTAGCTTTGTGTTGATGATGTTCCAGTTATAAGTGTTATTATGTTTGCAGTTTTACTTCTTTTGGGGGGTTTTTCTATAGGAAAAAGAAGAAGGACAAGGAAAGGAAACGTTTAGAGGAGCAGGCTATGACCTTAGAGGAGCAGGCTATGACCAGTCAAAATGAAAACGGAACTAAGAAAGTTTATGTTGACAAAAGGACGCCAGCACAGATGTCATTCGACAAAATACAAGAAAAAAGGGTATTTATAACATTTTATATTTGTCATATATTGTTTTGGTGCCGTATACAAATACTAAGTGTATTCTCTGTGATTATTTTGAATTCTAAGTAATAAATTGTCAGTTTAACCGAATGAAATTTGGATTATAAAGTGATAAAGTGATATTCATTCTTTCTTTATCATTTTTGTTATTAGCAAATGGAAAGAATTTTGAAGAAGGCCTCCAAAACACACAAGAGAAGAGTTGAGGTAAAGTCAATGATGTTTATATTCATATTTTAAGTAACTTAATGTGTGTATGTTTGTGTGTTTTAATTCGTGAATGTTTCTTTGTTACAGGATTTCAACCGACACCTGGACTCACTGACAGAGCATTATGACATTCCCAAAGTCAGCTGGACTAAATAAATGTCAATGGCTTTTCAGCTGGATGCTTTTAGAGCAAAAACACCTGCTTTAATGCTAATTTTCTAACAATGAGTATTGAAAAAAAATTCCAGAGTGATTTTAACATGTAGCTGTTATACTCTGTGATAGATTTTTCTTTTTAATTTCAATTTTCAGACCACTGTATGTTCAAAAGTTTAATTTTCCTGCAATTGCTCAGTAAGGTCACTTGTCTGCCTGCAGTGATCATTAACTTTTGGTTAAACTATTTTCTACAAAACTCTTTACCTTGGCATATAAGTACATGATGTTATTTTGTATTATTTGCATGCTGTAATGATTGGTAATAGTTGTTGGTTTAAGAATGACTGAGCTGAGACCAGTAGGTTTCACACTAATACTTGTTTTTACGTTGCATATGGACAGCTTTATCTTTTTATTTATTATTCAAACTTGTGGATGATATATTTTTTTTCTCATAAGATATTAATTCTGTTCATTAAATGTCTATGATTGGCAAATCAGAGTTCCATACAGAAACCAGAAGCTGTGTAATAATTTCAAATAAAGACTAGTTATTAGTTTCATGAAGACTATAAAACAATATTTTTCCATTTAATAAAAATATTTCATGTATCTAAATTGCACCAAACAATACATTATGAGTCCAAGTCTAATTTGCCTGTAAACAAAGATGATTTTGCGCCAACTAAGTGCAACTAAGCTCATGTATAATACACTATGGCCTGGTTTACCAGACCTTTCAGAGTATGCTTGGTTCAATTAGGACATTTATAGCTTTTATAAATGTGCCTTAGAAAAAAAGCATTACGGAGTCATTCCATGAAATCGGTGCCTTTTGTGCTTCTAAAATATAATCAGACATAGAGTTACTATAACAAAATATAAATTTGTGATTTAAAAAACATAATACTATGTATTATTTCCTCAATATTACATTAAAGTCAATTTAATATTATATTAAATAATTAAAATTGCATTTATGTTGGTAAGGTCCCTCACTATGATTGTTCTTTTTCAGCAGGAGTTTTAATTTGCAAATTGAAGGCAAAATGATACAAAAATCACATTTGCATAATATACTAAGTCTCATTGTTAAGCAATGTTTTGGCATATGTATACATTATTTTGTATAAAATATAAATAATTGTATCAGTGTCCCCTGATTTCATGTCAGCCCTGTTACCCATTACCCTTGTAAAGTAATGGTACATTCCAGTGTGCATCTTGAGATAACAATGGCACTGACATATTTCAAGACAAGTTACTTTCAGTTAAAACAGCTCAAACGTGGTCTGGGATTAGTAAGCCTTGTCTGTGAAACAGGGGGTATAGACTTTAGTCAGGGTAGCATCATATTTAATTTTTGACAGGAATGAAAACGAGGCTGTGAGGGACAGAATTGTGTGTTCAGTGGATTCTTGTAGGCCTACTGTTGTTGTTAACAACAATCCTATTGTTCGGCTGGTGAAAAGTCTCTCGGAGAAAAAAACCCTCCGCAAACAGTTTTAAAAGTTGTGAAAATTACGTGATCTAGGTCCTTTATACAGTGCGTGCCATTGTAAAGACAGTACATGTATGGTCCTCGTTTTCTTCTGCGTTAAATTCAAAATGGCGGCTAACCGGACAAAGGTTAGATTATCGTTGTTGCCGTTATTTAATTTCATAACTGTTTTTGTAATAATTCAAATGTAATTTGATGTACAATATAAGTGTAATGGCACAGAAAACCAAATGATCCTTGTGCTCGCCATTTGGTTAAAAAACATGTTGCAAGACTATAATTCCAGCAGAAGGCGCTGTTGGTTTCACTAAAATATTTTCACGCTATCACGCATCGTCTTCAAAAGCTGAGACATGTGAATTATAAGGTATATTTTATATGCCTCAAATAATCATAACCTTCATCCAGAGCAACTTAAGTGTGTTTAATCTAAAGATTTTTTTCCCCAGTGTGCGTTGGGGAATCGAACCCTTGACCTGGCCGTTGCTAGCAGGTAGGCAAAATTAAAAGTTACGTTTTCTGACATGACACAGCAACCTTCGAAAGAACCTCTCATTATGTATAATTATTGTTTAACGCACTAGTCGACATTTTGAGTATTATTTAGATACACAGCCAGAGTCAACTATTTCTTACATGTCTACTCAGCACTGTAAACAATTGCTGTTTAATGGCTAAATAATCTGCCACATTGTAACTCCCATTCGTGTTAGATATGAAATATTTGTTTGATGCTGGACACGTCATGATCTTTGATTATACCCTGTGGTGCAGCTTTGATAGTCAGTTATGAGGTTGTAATTAACAAGGTGATTACCATATGTGGTTTTCCATGGTTTTGTTTGTTCATCCTGTGTGTGTTCAGAGAACACGTGCACGCGCACAAGTGGCTTGTACCTTGTAATTAAAGGGATATTTCACCCAAAAATGAAAATTCTCTCATTAATTACTCACCCTCATGTCTTCCAAACCCGAGAGACTCTCGTTCATCTTCGGAACACAAATAAAGTTTTTTATTTTATTTTATGAAATCTTCTGTCCCTCCGTTGACAGTACCCAACTACCACTTTGACACTTCAAAAAGTTCATAAAGAGATCGTCAAACTAATCCATATGAATTAAGTGGTTTAGTCCAAATTTTCTGAAGAGACACGATTGCTTTATATGATTAACAGATTTAACTTTAGCTTTTATTCACATTTAAACATTGATCAGAAGCTCAACCAAACCTGCTTGACGTGCAATAACAAACCTCATTGCAGATGCAGAAGCTCAAACGTGCTATGAACCTCATTGGTTTTTGCAAGTCTCTTTAGACAATTTTGGACTAAAGCGCTCAGTTCATGGATTATTTTTATGATCTCTTTATGAACTTTTTGAAGTGTCAAAGTGGTGGTTGCGTAGACTGTCAAAGGAGGGACAGAAAGCTCTCAGAAAAATCTTTATTTGTGTTTCGAATATGAATGAAAGTCTCACGGGTTTGGAACGACATGGGGGTGACAGAATTTTCATTTTTTGGGGCGAACTAACCCTTTAAGGCATATGGTAGATCCTTGTGACATGAGGTTTCACTGACTGTGTACGATTCCTAATGGCCTGGGCGAACATTGTTTTATTTTTTTATCTAAAAAATAAAACACAGCCCGATTTGTGAACAAATATATTAGATATACAGAATAAGTCCGCTAGAAACTAAAAGAAATGGCATGTAGACAAATCCATGATCACTGGAAAATTATAGAAAACGACATTTCACTGTTACCATGGCAAATGTACTCATTTTCCAATTCCATGAAGCATTACAATTCATGTATATACAATATAATACAAAGCCTCAGACTACTCCTTAATTAGATGCTAGTCATACATTTCTCTCTGTGTGTGTATACTGCATATATATATATATATATATATATATATATATATATATATCAATTACATAATTTTCAATGCTTTATTTTAGTTTTGTTTATTTAAGTTTTCTATGCACTCTATCTCCCCAGAGCCAATATTCACAAAACCTCAGACTTAATTAGACGCTATCATAAATTACTGTTGCCGTGGCGAGCAGGGTGGATTCTCTGTGTGTGTGTGACACTGGAATGATGTCACATATGGTTCTGATGAGAATGTAAAGTATGTTATCTAGCATCTGACTGATGTAATTCTTAGTCCTATATTGCACTCGTCTTATCTTTAAGATTTAATACACAAGTTACCTTTTGGCTAGTACAGTTTGTGGTGTATTAATTTTCAATTCAATTAAATGCTTCAAAGATCTGAAGGCAGCGTGGGAGGGCTACAGTTATTACTAAATTGTGCAATCTACACAGTCATATTGTCTAGAACATCAAAACGGAAATTCCCATTTGAAACTGTCAGTTTTAATTTTAGCGAGACTACAGTTAAAAAGTAGAGGGAAGTACAGCTTGCTGAAGCAAAAATGGTTTAGTTTGTACAACCCAAGCTGTTTGTTAATTGTTACCTTCACTGTGTTATACATTAAGTATTTCTGACTTTTTTAGTGTACTACTATTCTCTTTGGTTACTCGTTCTGTCCCACCATCGCAATTCAAGGATTAATCTTAACCCCCGATGAGCCCACAAAACTCATCACCCAAGATGGTCTCTAATCATGAGCGCACTGCCTGCACGGGCCACATGTCTAAACGCAGAGCTCCAACCCACAGACATAATGAAAGTGCTGGAACTGAGATACGAACCTCAATGGAAAAACAGAAGGGCTTCAGAGCACGATCCACATCAGACTCGGGGGGTGCCGCCGTCTGATTTTAGGATAGTTTAAACAATATTCTGCTCCATATGCAGAGCCATTTTGATGCATTCACAATTGGTGAAAGTTGTATATCAGAAGTTTAAACAAATCTGGAAAAAAATATATTGTATTATGTATAGTGGTGTACAAGGTTTTTTTGACTATGGTGACCTACGATTTATGGTGTTACATGGCAGGACAACAAAGAAGGGGAAAAAAAGGAAAAACCATGTAATACATAAAAGTAAATAAATCTATATCATAAAAAATAATGTTATATGTATGTATTACAAATAATAAATGTGTTATTTTGTTATAAATAACATTTTTAAATGCATTGATTTATACATTCATTATTTACTGAAAAACCAATGCATTTATTAATTTATTATAAAATAGACATTGTTTTTATAAAATACATTTATTTATACATTTATTATTTATTGATAAATAATAAGTTTATTTATTATGAAACTAAATAAACATATAATTATTAAAAATAATAAATGTGTTATTTTGTCATATAGATCAAATGTATAACTACATTTTTATACATTTATTATTTACTTACTGATAAATATAAATGCATTTATTTCTTATAAAAATAAAGTAACAAATGTTCAAAATAATAAATGTGTTGTTTTGTCAGAATTTAAATACCTTCATTTTAAATATATTACATAATAAATTAATAAATGTGTTGATTTTTCAGTAAATAATAAAGTAGGCTAATGAATAATTATTACAAATAATAAATGTGTTATTTTGCTATAGATAACTATTGAAATACGTTTATTTATAAATGTATTATTTACTTATTGATAAAAACAACAACAAAACACTTATTAATAAAAAAAAAGTAAATAAATATATTACCATAAAAATATGTTTTATATATATATATATATATTACAAATAATACTATTATAATAATACATTTATTTATTATAAAATAAAGTAAATAAATTATTAATAATAATAATAAATGTGTTATCTTGTTATAGATAACAATAAATACAGTTATTTATAAATACATTATTTACTTACTGATAAGTAATTCAAAAATCAATAAAGAAAATAATAGGCCTACGTGTATGTTATTATAAATAAAATAATTTTATTTATAATAAATGTACAATTTTAATACACACCGACATTTTAACTTCTTAACTATTTTAATTATGCTACGTTTAGGGCAGAACATAAGACAGACTGCTGACACCTCAAAGTCTCGACTTGTTATTTCTCTCTTTTTTTCCCAGACAAAATAATCCCAATGGAATTCCTGTCAGTGTCCAACCTTGATAAAAGTTGATTTAAGTGACCGGAGAGGAAAGACCCGGTGAGTTACCGACATAATTCATAACCGGAGTCGACGTTAACCCTGTGACCTCGAGCGAGGGGTCAGGACTGTATCGAACAGACCAAATGCATGCAGCAAACCAAAACACTCGAAAAGCAGCCGTTGATGTTATCTCTTGCAATAACTATTAAGCGAAGAAAACAATAGGGAAAAAACGCAGAAAGCTCAGGGGGAATAAGGGCGTAATATTGCCAACCCCCTCGCGCAGACGGAGCAGTCTGCCAATAGTACTGAACTTTACAACTTAAGGGTCATTGATGACGAACGTTGCGCTGCCCTGTGGGACTCCAAACACATGACTGTTTATGTTACAGATTCATGCCTCGAGGTTGCCTCATGCCTCATGTGATCTCACAATGCACGTGAGAAAGGCACGTACTATAAAGTTTTACATTGGCTGGCATAAATAGCAGTTAAAGTCATCTATCTTTGATTTATGGCAAACCTCCTGCACATAATAGTTCAACATGCTACAATCAAACCCCCACTTGTGGCTCTAATTGTTTTTAATTTACTATCGGCACTAATTCAATGGAAATTAGGACAACTACAATACCACATGTTCTCAAATCTTTTGCAGACCTATAGAGGAGATTGAGGAGGACAGAACTTGATTTAACGCTGTAATCAGCCGCACCGTATTGCTTTTGTCGCATTCTGGTGCTAAAATTGAAATCTTCAAAAGAATAATCAGGTTTTTTCCTGTGCCATCTATAGAGCTTATGCATTAAAGGAATAGTTTATTTAAAAGTCAGTCATTATTTACGAGTCAAAGTCAAGAAACAGATCAATCAATGAAAAAATACTTTTGAACAGGTTCATTTCAACGATCTTTTGATCCGGTTTACGAATGACAATAATTCGTTCATAAATTAAACTGATTCATAAACAAATTGGACTGATTGTTCCGATTGTTTCAATCCCAGCAGTTGTTGAGTAAACAGATCACTGGATGGGGAGTTTATCCGTGAATAACGACTTAAATTACCATCTGTTCCCCACAGAAGGGACTTGGCGCATGAGTTAGGCTTTATGGACAATGTTTATTAGTTTTTTTAGTGGTAATTTTTGTCATTTTTGGTGCTTAAAAGCATGTGGAAAAAAGGTTGCTGCCTTACATTTTTAAGTAATCAACTTGGATGTTTAAGTCATTTAAACTTCAGTTACATTAAACTGACTTTAAAAAATGAGTAACACAAAACATATTAAATGAGTTAAAGCAATGTAAAAACATGTTGTTGTTTTTTTACAGTGAACTGATACAAGTGTAGAACTACATGGGTGAGTCAATAATGACAGAATCTTCATTTTTATTTGTACTAGCCCCACCTAATAAACTACAAAAACACAATATGCATCTGGACCAAAAATATCATCATCTGCATGTGCATTTTCTGGCCCATCTCTCATTTTCCCCATAAAAGCTTTGTAATGAGTTGAGGGGAGGGTTGTACTGGGCCAAATTACAAACCTTCCTCCATCATCTAGTTGAGGCTGCTAAACTCTACCTACCAATTACAGCTACAAACCCCCTGAACGCTAAACCATCCTGTTTCAGCCTTTTTAATGTTCTTGTCTCGCAACCCCTCCAGGAAGCCAGATTGTTTGATGGCTCTGATGGCTCAGCAGACAGTCATTTTAGAGGATCCTTTGGGAAAGAGGAAACAGCAATTTAGACCCATTGTCTAGACATAAATGAGGAGAAATGCCTCGTTCAAAATCAAGAAATGTACGCAATCACTGATGTAATTCTATGAACGTGATGAATTTATGAGTCGGTTTTAAAATCTCCATTGCATTAGAATACACATATGTCCTTAATTGTTCTCAAACATGTGTTTTGAAAGCAAACGAGAGCCAGTTATCCATAAGCCTATAAGGGAATGGCTAACTGTCAACACATAATCCTCCACACTACAGCGCTAATAAAACCTAATGGCAACCTTTCGTTGTTATTGTTATACAGAAATCGTCACATTCTTGAAGTATAACCTTCTCCATATGCTCTCCTCCAACAGCTGGTTTGTTCTCACTGTGACAAATCCAATGGCAAACATGCGCACGCGGCCCATTGTTTGAGCCTGGGCCGGACATCAGGTTCACCTCCACTGCTGGTCTCCAGATCCCAGTGCAGATAGAGCTAACAACTTGGCTCGAACGTAAAGCCTGAAACTCAATACAGCTGTTCCTTCCGAGCTCTTATGAGCAGATCTTGCTAACATGTCCTCGACCTGAAGTATGATTACAAGATGATACAAAACAAAAGCCGTCTTTGAAAAATCTCCAGACATGGTTTATGTGGTTAGCCAGATAAGTTTATACTAAGAAAACTCAGCGTTAAACGTGAATACTGTAGGCATATAATCTTAAAATAAAGTTTCTTTATTGGCATCGATGGTTCCATGAAGAACCTTCAACATGCATGGAGCCTTTCCATTGCACAAAAGGTTCTTTATAGTGGAAAAAGGTTCTTTGGATTAGCCTATTAAAACGTTCTTCACACCATGCAAGAACAAATGGTTCTTTTAAGAACTGTTCAGTGAAAGGTTCTTTGGGGAAACTAAATGGTTCTTCTATGGCATCATGTGAAAATCGAAACCTTTATTTTTAAGAGTGTATCAAACTAGACTAAATATCCTGCTAGTGAGCATTATTCAGAATACTTACAGATAATAATAATGTAGCTGGACACACATTTCGCAACATTTTCAAATAAAAATGTCAAGTTGAGTGGAGCTAAAAGCGCTTTCAGTTTTATCCGAAACAGATGAACGTGAATCTCGCGATGCTTGGTTCTTGTAGCCTACTTATCGCGACAGTCCGGTCAGTGGCGCTAAAAGATTAAAGGCCAATTTATACTTCTGCGTCGGGTGCGCGCAGTAGGTACGGCGTAGCATACGCACAGACGCGTACCATACGCCGTACCCTTCGCCGTAACCTGACGCGCACCTCCTCAAAAATGTAACTACACGTCGCGACGACGCGGACCGCAAGATCTGTGATTGGTCGGCTTGGTAGCATCGCGTTTCCTTCTATGCATTTCCGGCGTGTTCTTCTGCACCGCCCGCCATTTTTAAATTCTAAGTACAGCGAAACTGTTAAAAAAACTAAAAATTTACCTTTTCCACCTCTATAAGCTCCAACTCCAACATGATCTGCTCTCTTTCAGTCGGCATTGCTTGTAGTAACCTAAACTCAAAACAGCCGCGAGGAATCTTCTTCTTCTTGCCGCGAGGAATCTAAACACAGTGGAACATTAAAACCCTCCGCCGCCAACTAGCGTTTCGGCGCTGTACTGCAGAGCAACGCAGACCTAAACGCAGAAGTATAAATGCTCATGACGGCGTTGCCTACGTGCGTAGCCTACGCCGTACACTACGGCGTACACTCGACGCAGAAGTATAAATTGGCCTTAACGCTCTTTCGCGTTTAAAAATAACGTATGCCACCACCTACACTAAACCCTACCCAAACCTAACCGATAGTGTTAACAAAAAGCAAACAATAGATAAAACGTATTTGCTGATGCAACCCTGCCATTTTAGTTTGTTTCTACAAGTCATTGAGGTGAAGTATTTTATTGTGATCGTGTTTCGCGGGACTCGAAGTACCCGAGAGGTGAGTTACCGAAGTTTAGCTACTAACAGCTGGAGCTTGTTGTGATGCTACATCAAAATGTACTCGTTTACAAATCATGCATTGTGGTAGGTAAAAGTGTTTTGAGGTCATAAAAACATAGTATTGTGCAAGAAACAGCATGAAAAGTATTAATTCTTAATTTAATAATTTATGTGAAAAGGAATAAAAGTTGTTGGTCTTTTACTGACAAAAAGTGTGCATTAAGCTGGAATTCTGCAGTGAATAGTATTTAGGCCTATAGGTAGGCCTACGTTTTTTTTTAGTTTAGGCCTAGATGCAATAGCCTTTGTTAAAAGTTTCCTAAAGGTTATCTGGTTAACCAAGTAACGTTAAGCAAGACTTCGCACAGAGGTTTTGGATTGGGGTTCTGCTAAAAAAAAAAAAAAAATGCTGAAAAGGACATCTTCAGGTAGACAAAGGTGGTTTAATGGTCTTCGCTAGCTAGCTGCTGTTCAGTTGGTTAGCCAAAAATAAGTAAACAAACAATAATAAAAAAGTCCCTAAAATCCCTTTACAACCATCAAACTAGATAAGCCTGACAGAAGATTTTCTAACTTCCTTTGGCTAAAGCTATTCGAAATTCATAAATTTCACATCTTAACTAGTTACTACCACAAAATGTGGCATTTATAACTATTCAAGTTGTTTTGACGCTTCCAGCTTTTGTCTCTGCTAATGACAAGTTTGGATTTTAACTACATGATGAATACCCTGTGCTAAGCTCCATCTGGGCCTTGTTTCATCTTGGCTTGATTGCTGAGAGATTGATTGTTGCTTTGGGCTCTGAGGAGGTGCTGTACACGTTAATTTCTTATTTACATATGTTTTGGATCCAAAATAATGTTCTGATTCTCCCTAATCTATCCTTCCACTGCAATTCACATTGCGTCCAAAAGCTTTAGCTAGCCAGCCGTGGCAGTTCTATGCAAGATGTCGCCAAGACCATAAAGTGATCTTAAGCGAGTTAATCTGTTGATTATGATTAAAGCACATTTTTTCCCCCAATAAAAATATTTTCTGTATGGGCAAATCGGCTAAACGTTAGCACATCCGTAAGTTGGTTTGTTTTAGTCTGAGAGAATCCAAACTAAAATGTGCACGGATGAATTGGGGGAAAATGACCTACGAGCGCCTTTCCTTCCAGCCAACCATGGAAGGCTATTTCAGGAGCTGAGGTCAGCAGGCCTCATTCAGTTGATGTCACCTCCTGCGCTCTGAAGTGGGGTATTATTTAGGAGCGCTGGAATGTGGTTGAGGAAGTGGTTTAAAGCTACTGTCTGCCAGACTCTTCTCGGACTCAAAGTATGGACAGGACACAATGAATGGGGGTCTACTGTCCAGACACAAAGGGTTTGAAATTAGCATGTTTCTATGTGAATTAATCTTCTGCATATGCTATTGCGAACAAATTAAACTTTCTTCTACTATAATATAGTAGAATTTTTTGAGAATTTCCAAGAGTTTGGTTCTAGCTAGCATGCGGAGCAGTACACTGAAATAAAAAATTCCTTGAAAAACATTTTACTCACGATTTACTAGCAATTTACATACCTTCATGTCGTTCCAAAAAGCATGCTATGTTTTTGTTGAAAAAAGAAATACATTTTTTTTAAGCTATGGCTACAGCTCAGAGCTATTTTCCATAAAACGATAGTCGTTGTGAAGCACCAAAAATGAGAGAAAACACCAAAAAAAGCATGTCATGGTCAATAATTCAATAAATTGTGACATTAAAATGTATTTATTCCTTCTAAAATCTAAATGTAAAAATAGGGAAAATGATTATGCAATTAAATATCAAACATTGACGGATAAATATATTTTTTTAAATATGAATCTTCACCACAAAAAAACCCATCATAAAAACATGTTATGACTAATAACCAATCAACTCAGAGATTTGAAATTTTATTTATTTATTATAAAATCGAAATATATAAAACTAACAATTAAAATAATTTTAGCATGAGTGTTAGATAATGGCAATGCTAATCTAAATGTAAACATAGGGAAAATGATTATGCAATAATTTCGACAGATGATAAATTAAAAAAAATCTGTAATATAAATCTACAAGTAGTGAGAGACACCAAAAAAGCATGTTATTGCCAATAACCAATCAAGACATTAAAATGTATTACAATTTATATTATTTATTTTATTTATTAACTCCCAAATCTAACTGAATAAAAATTAATCACTAAGAACTTAATTTCAAAATGCTGTAAGTTTTACGTGATTTAATTTAGGCATCACAACATTATAACGCACAGTATGAAAAATGGATATCCATTTTGACGTATACCTTGACTGAACTATCCCTTTAAAAGCAGCCAAAGTTGCACTTGATGCTTTGAACTTGTGAAAATATTCCCCAAGGAGCAGCACTGAAGAAATCTCAGAAGTCAGGACCCAGTGTTTGCCTGTCTGATACTGGTATTATGATTGTTTGAGTAGAACTTTGTCAAGCAGACGTTTCCCCCAAGTATTGTGTGGTTATCTAATCTCAGCGGCTCACTTCGGTATGTGAGGTGCTTGTGGTCAATGCGGCTGTAGTGCACATGCACAGATATCTAGCCGTGTTTCTTCACAAGAGAGACAGGATGAGGAGATTTCAGTAAACGCCTTGTCTGACACTTCGGAGTAATGAGAGGATTACGGTGAGACACGTTTAGTTTCCCAACTCCAACTTGCCCACACATAAGACAATAGCATTGTGTCTTGTCGTTTTTGGTAGTAAACAAAGTGTTAGCCTTATATTAGCACCAAAAGTTTAAGGTTTGTGCACTTTATGTACAATATCTGGGAAGACAAACTGCAAAAGAAGCTTTTGGAATAACATGTCATAACCAAAACAATCCTGTAGAGGTCACTGTTCCCCACACACTACTTGAAATCTCCCTCCAATTCAGGTTGGTGTGACAAGCAGCTAGCGGCAAGATTAGCCTTTTAAGAAAAGGCACATTAGACCCCAAGAAAAATGTTTAGGTGAATGAAATGACTGAAAAC